CACCGGGCGCCCAGTTACGCGGGATTTAATTACAGCGGAATGCATTCTCCATGCCGATTAGGAGAAAAATCAATCGGGGGCTTATTTGCCACAATGAACCCATAAAAAAACAATTTATTAGAGCAATAATCTCAGCCCCCAAATGGTCTAAATATTATTGTTTCGGTTGCGTTGAGGGAATTCAGACCGAAAGCGTTACACGGAGAGCATCAGGGAGTCCTTCTCCGTGAATTCGGCGAGAGTTTCTAACCTCTTTCCAGAGGCCAGCTTGCCAGCTCGGGGGTCTTTGAAACGGGGAGCCGGCTTCCCCCATTCCGGGTCCAGGTGCCCGGTTGCCCTTGTCCCCCCCCAAGGCCACGCAGGCCTGCGGTCCGCAGCCGCCGGTGCCAGGAGGCAGACGTAGGGCACAGCTCCCCACAGGGTCTTAAAGATTTCCTGCTTTCCAGTGATTTACGTGTGAAATTCCTGGAAGAGGGGCGGCCACACAAAAGATCCCCAAGCCACAGGCCGAGATAAATGCCTTGTTGTAATATCGTTAGAAAAACACCACGCCATGTGCCAAACATTCCCTGGCAGGGCTGCGGGGAGGAAGGCATTCCCTCGGGAGGGTGCTGAGCACCGGCCCTGGGCTGGGGTACGCGGGGAGGATGGGGGGACAGCAGGGCCTCTGCTTCCCAAAAAACAATTTATTAGAGCAATAATCTCAGCCCCCAAATGGTCTAAATATTATTGTTTCGGTTGCGTTGAGGGAATTCAGACCGAAAGCGTTACACGGAGAGCATCAGGGAGTCCTTCTCCGTGAATTCGGCGAGAGTTTCTAACCTCTTTCCAGAGGCCAGCTTGCCAGCTCGGGGGTCTTTGAAACGGGGAGCCGGCTTCCCCCATTCCGGGTCCAGGTGCCCGGTTGCCCTTGTCCCCCCCCAAGGCCACGCAGGCCTGCGGTCCGCAGCCGCCGGTGCCAGGAGGCAGACGTAGGGCACAGCTCCCCACAGGGTCTTAAAGATTTCCTGCTTTCCAGTGATTTACGTGTGAAATTCCTGGAAGAGGGGCGGCCACACAAAAGATCCCCAAGCCACAGGCCGAGATAAATGCCTTGTTGTAATATCGTTAGAAAAACACCACGCCATGTGCCAAACATTCCCTGGCAGGGCTGCGGGGAGGAAGGCATTCCCTCGGGAGGGTGCTGAGCACCGGCCCTGGGCTGGGGTACGCGGGGAGGATGGGGGGACAGCAGTGCCTCTGCTTCCCCCCCTCCCACGTGAAATTGCTCCCTTGTCCCCACCATGGGCTGGCCGTTCGCTGGGCGCTGCCCCGAGCAGCCGGTGGGAGCCTGCAGCCCTGCTGGGCCAGGCCACGCCGGGGGGCTGCGCGTCCCCCCGAGCTGAAAGCCTGTGACTCAGGAGATGCTGATTTCGCTTTACAGCTTTCTGTAACTCCAGTCATCTCTGTCCCAAACCGGAGAGGAGCTCATTTCCTGCTCCCTGCTCTGCCAGCCACAAGGGCTTTTCAGAAAAGCTGCCGGGGTGCCTGGCTGCGGGAAGGACAGTCAGCGCTTGTCACCAGGGAATGAGCTGGCATCGCCGCTCCAGGCTGAGTCAACAACCTGGGAGCCCCGAGCCCGACTTCATAAATCACGCTACCTAATTGAAAGGCACATGCTTATGTATACAGCGTCGTTCCAAAAGGATGCAGAAAAAATAAAATAAAATGCTCAAGCACTTTTCTTCCCGCTAGCCTATTAATCAGTCACCTGATTGTTTCGATTTACATTATTTCACACAGAAAAAAAAAAAAAGGGAAAACATAAAACCGGCTTGTATAGCCATAATAAAAACACAAATGAAAAAATTCATCCCTTAATGAGAGGCTTAGCCTTTTCCTAACGCATCCCTAATAATAGAAGAACTTTAAGTGTTTTTAATTTAAATGGTTTTCATGTTTAATTCAAAATTGCTAAATAATATTATCCTGTGTCTATGTATCTATTTAGCATCGTGGCGTATGATATCTCAAACCAATTGAACCAGTTTTGAAAGGCGAAAGAGTCCTTCACCACGCCTGCACTCGCTTTTTTCATGTTGGTTAACGCACAAGGGGCTGGCCTGCCTTTTTCTCGTCATTCCAGCAGAAATGAAAAATAAACCTGGGCCAAGTGATGGGGGATGTGCTTTTTGCTTTGCGCACCCCAACCTCTCGCCTTAGTTTTTCCACCGCCGGGGTCTGGGGGATCCCCCTTCCCCCGAGCTCGGTCCCCTCGGCCGTCTCTGCGCTGCCGGCGGCGAAGCCCGGGGGGGCACGGAGCAGCAGTTTGCATATTCATATTTAACGCGTCAAACAACAGGAGCTACTTCAAAAGCAGGCGTGAGGCAAAACTGACATTAAACTTGCGGTCATTAAACCTCTGTTTAGCCGTACTCCAGAAATGAGCAGCTCGTAACAGTCGGGGGATTCTGACTGACAGTTTGCCATCGGGAGCCCTTAAGCGGGATTTTTTTCCGGCTATAAGGCAGCATACTCCTCCGTGCTTCCTTTCGCAAGGTGCTTGCTCAAGTAGAGGAGCACGAGGGAAACGTACGCCACCGCTCCACACGGAACACGCGATCGCGCTGAAATTCAGCGGCGCCGCTTTTCCTCGTGCTGCTCCAGAAGCGAGGAGCGCGCTTTGTTTTCGTGGTTCCTCGCTGCGCTCCCGGCCCCCTCCATGTGTTTCAGGCGTTTTTCTGTTGGCAGCACGAGACCTTGCTTACCTGGTGCCTTGTGTGTGTGAAACCGTTAGCGGTCCCAGTGCCCGAAAACAAGAAGTCTGATGACTTTTATTTTTTTCTTTATTTTTTTTTTGCTCTTCTTAAATAATATCTCATGGTGCATTAAGTGGGCTACACCGCCTCTTCTTAAGGGACCCAAGCAACATATTGCCGCATACTTAACGTTCGCATCAGCTAGTTTCTAAAAGGAAAGAAGCCGAAGGCAGCCTGGAGTCCTTCCCCGAGCCTTTTCTCAGTTTGTTCTGAGTTTGACAAGAAAGGGCAATAATTTGGAGACACTCACGGAAAGAAGAGTGAATATTATTTCACAATAAACCTCTTTGCATGTCGTTTGCGGTCGTGGGCAGATACGAGAAATGCTACTCGTTAAATCCACTGAACATTACTTTGTCAGAAGTCAAAACGTTTTTTAGCCAAGCTGCTTTCTCGGTGGTTGCTTCGGATGTGACCGCCAGAGCCAGAGTAGCCCAAGGAGAGCAGCAAACAATTAAAACATTTACGTATTTGGTTCGTGACAGACATCTCGACGAGGTAGGTTTTAACATTTTTTTTTTTCCTTCTTAATTTTTTTTTTTTTTTTTTTCAGTAAGAAGGATAAGCTTGGAGTGCCCAGTCACCGTGGTAACTGCCAGAAAAATTCTCCTGAAGTTTGAAGGGGTCAGCTAACGGGGTCAACAACCCTGGCCTCTCCCCGCGCTGGGGCTGGCAGGCTCCATCCCGCGGCTGGGCAGCCCGCGCAGGCGGAGCCCTGGGAGGTGGCCATTCCGGCTCTGATATAAATTTTTTGAGTCAGTTCACGGCCTGGACTCTCCAGGTGGCCCCCAAAATCGATTGTGACCCCGTGACCCTGTCTAACGGAGGCATAGCATCCAACCTAAGTAAGGATTTAGCCAGGAACGACAGCTTTCCGCTGAGTGTTATTGGGGACAGTACAAACAGTTTTGGAAGCGAGGAGGTAGGTATGAGGAGTCGGGGTCATTAAAAACATATTAAAAAACAATTTTAAAAATCCTTGTCAGCGGAAAGTTTTTATTAGCAGTAACCGCTCCTTAAATAAACTCCTCTGGCAACTATTTTCTTCTTCCCTAACACCACCCTATCACGTAGTTCAGTGCATTAATACGTGAAAAATATATGCCAAACCACGCTGATATTTTATCTACCCCTGGATTTTGAACTCGTGGGCGAAGCTGACTGACACGCGTTAAACTAGATGTCTGTGAAGCGTGGTTTTCTCCTTAATGTCATAAAACCCGGGAGGCTGCTTATTAAAGCGGGCTGTTTATTTTAGGAAGTAGCTTCCCTAATGCGCACATTCTTTTTAGAGTCGAAAGGCTCCCACTCCGTGTAATTTCATTTTTAAACTAGGAAATTAAGTAACGTTCAGAAGAGCGTGGAATGCAAGTGTGAGAGCTTCACAGCCTCCGTTTCCTCGGCTGATTTGTAGCACAAACAGACAAGCCACAGACTTGGTTATGTGTTTTTGTAGAAGAAAATCATGGTCATGCTAAGACCGTCTCTGTAGAGAAGATGGTTTTTTTTTCCCTTAAGATTTTAAGCAACACACTGTGCGGGGGAGGGAGAGGCTGCTGCAGAGCTCTGCTTTGGTTATCGAATCCACAAACTTGCCCTCCCGAGCAAGTGGGTTTGCTCTTGTATTTTATTCCCGCTTGTACAAAACCCCAGCGCCGCGTGCCTTGCTCACGGGAGGGATCGGTAGCCGCCGGATGAGTAAGTGGAACTACACCGAGGAGCAAAGTCCACTCTCCTGGGTGGAAAATGCTCTCAGACTTTAAGTGACTTTAAAACGGCTCCGAAGGAAGAAAATCGCATTAATATTTGCTCCCAGTCGTAGAAAAAAAATTATGCAAACTCGTCCCAGCGGGAATCTTGCCCAAGCTCTTCTTGCGCCTGGTGGGAGGGGGCCTGGCCCCGCGGTCCTTCTGCCCAGCCGCTTACCTGCCGAGCAGCCCCCGCGGCTGCAGGGCTGCCCAGGGACCGGGCTGGGAAATACGGATCAGGGGCGTCTGAGCCTCTCTGCGCGCTGAATATCGCCGTACCGCTGAGGGCTCCCATGGGTTACAGCAGCAAGAGCCTCCAGCTTTTAATCGCGGCAGCACCTTGCTCGGCAGAAAGTCCCCCAAAATCCATGGCCGAGGTGCTACCTCGCACAGGGCTGGTGTAATCTGCTCCGCTGGGATTATCTGAAGAGCGGGAGATTAATTACTAGGAAAAAGAATGGGGGCAAACTGTGCCCTACAATAATTTAGGGCCCAGACCTGCCCACGCAGGTATCAATGGCGACGCTCTGTTTAATTCCACCCCCAATACCAACCCTGGTTTGTTGTTGTTGTTGTTTTTTAACGGAGCTGTGCTGAAAACAATTTATTGCCATCAGCAAGCGTGTTGATTCCAGGGAGTGCCTTGCGTGGCTAAGCTCGGCGAGACACAGCTCACGGCCCTCGGTAGGGACCAGCACATTGGCTTGGTTTTCAGAAAAAAAAACATTTAAAAATCAAACTGCAAAAGCACCTGCAGCATTTTTAATGCTTCTGTCTCCTTTGGGAGCATACAGCGCACCAGCGCTACCTGGCAAACGGGGTCTCTTCTACACCAGGTGATACAATTGCGCTGGGACGTTTGGACCAAGAGTCACCCCAAACTTTCCCCAGAGCCTCAGGGAACAACAAGGAATCGTTGGCGGAGGGAATGACAAGGGGATCTCAAGAGCTCGGACTTGCTGCAAATTCTTTCGTGTTGATTTCTGTAGATCCCATTGAATTTATAATCAACTGCAAATCTACAGATGCCACATGAAATAGGTCCTGGGCTGGCATCTTTTGTACCTCTTCACCTTTTCCGGTTGCTCATCCCCCGTACAACTGGGACGCGGAGTGCCCAGAGGTGCACGTCGGCAGCAGCTGCATCTTCCTCATCACCTTCAGCTCAGAGAAGCTCACGCAGATTCATTTGATTCCTTGAGATATTTTCTGAAGCGCAGGCCCTTTTAGCAGCGTGATGGACGTGAAGGGGCTTAGGGGAGGCAGACGGTCAGCATCACCAGGGGCTCTGGGCTGCTGGTTCCCAGCCTCTGCTCTACGGATCGCTGATAATCCACGAGGCCTTGGCAAGTTTGCTGCAGGTGGTCTGCGGAACTGTAGGAAATAATCATGTTCACAGACTTCAATTAAAATCTTGATGAGAAGAGCGTGTGGCAGTCTGCAAGAACGTCTGAGGGCTGGGGGTGGTCTACGGGCCTGAAAGCTCGGAGGGTGGCTGCCTCGCCAGGATGCGCCTCTGCCTTGCCGGGGTGCACCTCTGCCTTGTTGGGATGCGCCTCTGCCTCATCGGGATGCACCTCTGCCTCGTTGGGATGTGCCTCTGCCTCATCGGGAGGCACCTCTGCCTCGTCGG